CCGCGGTTGGAGACCTGTTGGGAGGGCTGCGTTTGCCGGGAAATCAACTCCCAGGCTTTTTTTAGAGCCAGAAAAGCCCTGGCACAGGGATGACAGCAGCAGAAGCCAAAAGGCTCAGATGGTTTTAAATGTCAGGGAGAGGTGTAAACGGATCTGGAAAGACAGCATGTCCAGAGGAGCCATGAGATTCCACAGACAGCAGCTCCAGAGCCAGCATCCTGCGGTTTTCCCTCTCTGCGAGCCCGGCTCTGCCCGGTGACCTGGGATTTGCCTGTGGGATGGTGCCGGCGGCCTCTGGAGCAGGGGAGGCCGAAGGGCTGCCGGGGGAGCGCTGGTGATGGGCAGGAGCACAAATGCGCCTTGGCTCCCGCTGCCTCCGTGACCTTTTCCGCTCCGGCGTGATCCATCCTGACGCTCGGAGCGGGGCGAAGGGGAAGTGGTCATCTGGGCTTGGCCGCTGTGTGTTTGCCTGCTCGGCCCTGCCACTTCCCAAAAAAAGAGTTTGGAGTCTCTGAGAGTCAGCAAGTTCCCGGTGCCAGCCATCTGCCCCATTTCCCTTAGCAACCGTCCGTCCTTTTCTCCTTCATTAAGCGTCTGAGGCGGATCCTGCCTGGCAGACCCTCTCTCGCTTCCCTTTTTGCCTCTCTGGATCATTCCCATCTCCTGTCACTGTGGCACGGAGTCCTGACATCAGAGCATGCTCCTCTCCTAGGAATTCTTGCACAAAGCTTGGACAGGGGCTGTTTGCTCACTTTCTTGCCTGCTGCTTTTTTCTTTCCAGCATGATCTTTTCCAGTTCCTCTCCTTCAGGAATTGCTCAGGCTGGAAAACACCCCCAAGATCGAGTTCAGCCACCCAGACTCTGCCATGGTCACCATTAATCCATGTCCCCAAATGCCACTTTTGCTCAGCTTTTAAATCATCCAGGAATGGGGACTCCAGCACTGCCCTGGGCAGCCTGATTCAATGCTTCTATGAAGGAATTTTCCCTAAAATCCAAAGAGAAATTCCCCTGAGGCAACTTGAGTCTTGTCCCTTGTTCCCTGGGAGCAGAGCCTGACCCCCATCAGGGAATCATGGAGAGGGAGAAGGACCCCGTGAGCCTCCTCTTCTCTGGGTTAAGATAAAATTCCCTGCTATATTCCATGGACTTGTACAGAAGGGAGCTGGGAAATTCTCCTTAGGATAATTATTCCCAGTTATTGGTCTCCAACCTCTGCTTTGCCCTGAGGTCCCTCTCCTGTCTGCCTGCTGGGCTGTGATCCCGAGGTCTCTGCCAGGACTTTGTGGAGGAGCTGTGCAGCAGTTTAGGATTTGGGATCTCTGCGGGCAGCGGTGTCTCCCGGTGAGAACTGAGCTTCCCCCTCCGGCAGTTTGGAGCTGGGATGAAGCCAAGTGGGTTAGACAAGGCTTTGAGGTCCAGGAGAAGTGGGGAATGGCTCTGCAGCCTGGTGTGAGGAGCGGGAAAGGAGCCAGGAGCAGAGCCAGGAAGGAATCCTTAACGGGAAACCTCTTGCTTCAGTCCACCTGCCTCCAGAAGCAAGAGCAGGATCCTGAGGAAGCAGAGGAGGGAGGGATTTGACCTAATGAAATTATCCAAGTGCCTTGGCTCCAGCTGCTGCTCTCCAGTCACATCCAACTGATGTCCAGAGACGTGGCCTGCGGGAGGGATCGAATCCTCCACGGAGCATCCTCATCCTCCGTGCTGTGCCCACATCTGACAGCAGCATTCCAGGCTTCCCAGAGAGCCTGGGAGGCTGCAGGTGCTGCCTGGCAGTGGAGAGCTCTCCGACACTGCTTCCCTGCAGCACTGACAGGAACAACACAGCTGATCCCTAAATTTCCCTGTCCTGTCGCAGCCGTTCCCATCACAGGAGGTGAGCGGGCTCCTGGAAATTGGGAAGCAGCTCAACCTCTGGGTGTGGAGTCTCAGCCAGGGAAGTTGTGTTCATGCCATGGGGCCCTGGGAAAAGGCCAGAGCTCCTGCTTGTGGGGGTGAAGGCATCCCACATCCCTAAAGCTCCTGCTAAAGTCCTGATTCATTCCTGGGCTGGAGCTCTCCTCCCGAAGCAGAACGGAGCCAAGGGCATTCAAAAGGTGGGTGGGGAGGAGGAATAACATGAAGGAATTTTGGCGGGGGTGAAGCAGATAAGGAAAATGACACGTTGTTGTTGCACCTGGATTAGCCAGCGCTGGGATGGAGCTGGGAATTCCAGCGGCTGCCAGTGCTGCAAGCACAACCCTGTGACTCAGGGGAGCTCGGGGGTTTGCATTTTCCTCCTCTCAAAGCCTTTAGGGTTCATTTCCACATTTTTCTGTTTTTAATTCCCTGCAGAACAACGAGGCTTTCACAACCTGAGGTGAAAAAGCTTTTTGGAAAGATAGGTTTGTCCAAGGGGGAGTGTGGAGGATGCTGGCAAATATCCCGACAGCCTGGATCACTGCTTTATCCTCTCATTTTTCCCCAAAGGAAAAGCCACCTGGAGCTGCCAGGCAGGAAGATGCCCTGAGCTTTGCTGAGCAGTGGTGAGAAACCCCAGTGAACTGTTATTTAATGGTCCTTTTCCATGGCAATGGCTCCTTCCCGGGGAGAAATTTCTGGGCTGAGGAGTCACAGCTTGGATAATGCTGGATAATGTCCTTGGGAGGGGGAAGCGCTGGCAGGAATGATAGCAAGTCTCCAAGGCTTGGCTTCCAGAGTTAGATCTGGCACCAATTTAGCAAAGCAGCTGGAAAGAGGAGTTTGTGCTTGGAATCCTGAGCAGCGAGGGCTGTGCCGAATTCCAGGATGCAACCTGTGGGAGAAATCCTCTCCAGGCTTTTCCTGTGGAGTCAAACCCATCCGTGTGTGCACGGGTGTGTTTACTACGTGCCAAGAGTGAGCCCACGGCGTGGGAACCTCTTGGAAAAGGGAGGGATCCCGCTAGGAAAGCGGCTTTAAGGCTGGAAAGGGGGTTCCTAAGGAAGGGACAGGTCACCAGCCTGTGCAGGTGGGGATGGGAAGAGCTGTGCCTGAGGGAAGGAGCTGGGAATGTGCCAGCCTGGCTCTGCCCTTCCTACCTGCGGTGGGACCTGATGCTGCCCAGCCCTTGGGAATTTATGGAGGAAATAATGAGGGTGGTGAGGCACTGGAATGGATCTCCCAGACAAGCTGTGGCTGCCCCATCCCTGGAAGTGTTCGATACTAGGTTGGGTGGGCCTTGGAGCAACCTGGGATAGTGGGAAGCGTCCCTGCCCATGGCAGGGGGTAGAATGGGATTATCTTCAAGGCCCTTTCCAGCCCAAACCATTCCAGAATTCAATGTCTGATGCCTTCAGGTGCCTGACAGAGGTTTCCCAATTCCTGCTCTGCCTTTGGCTGGCATTCCATCCTCCAGTGTGCCAGCCTGAGCCTGAATTTGGGCTTCGAGCTTACCCCTGGACCTGCTTTCCCTAGGTTTGGCTCTGACTGGGATGTCTCCCCTCTGAATTAAGTGCTTTTTAGGGATTCAGTTTCAGAGGTGGGATAGCAGCCTGGCCCCCCCAAATCCCTTCCTGGTGCTGGAGGAGCCACGGAAAGCCAAGGCAGCTGAAGGAGGAGATTTTCCCAAACACCCAGAGTGCAGGAGAAGCTTCTCCATTAGGGAATGATTTTTAGTGAAGGTTTGAGTGATGCTGTTTCTCTGCAGAGCTGCAGCAGCTGCTCCTGCTGGGGGGACACTGCCAGCTGCTCATCCCTGCTTTGGGAGCTTCCCAGGGGCTGGGAATGACATGGACGGTCGAGCCAGGAGTTGCTGGCTTGGGGGGCATCTGGGAGAGGCGTGTTTCTGTAGAGATCTGCTGAGATAATGAAGGATTTGAGGAGCAAGAACAGTCTGGAGGCACTGGATTAGCAGCACTTTGGTAGGTGGTGATGGAGGCTGATGCCTCCAGAGAGTCGCAGGCGGGAATCACGCTGGGAAGGGAGGGAGGGCTGGGAAGGCAGAGCCACCAAGGGGATAGAAGAAAACACAGGCACTTCCTGCATGGTGACACGGGAATGGGGCACAAGGATGCCTGTTGGTGTGGTTTTTAAAAGCACTTCCCAAATTCAGGTTGGCAACTGTGTGGTTTGGTGGGAATTTCATGTGGAATTTTGCACAGAGGGAGCAGCCTCAGCTTGTGCCAGGGGAGGTTTAGATTGGGTATGGAGGAAAACTCCTTCATGGAAAGGGTTGTCAGGCACTGGAACAGGCTCCAGGGATGGAGTCCCTATCCCTGGAGGGATTTAAAGCCCGTGTGGATGTGGCACTTGGGGACACGGGTTAGTGGTGTCCTTGGAACAGCTGGACTCCGTGACCTTGGAGGGCTTTTCCAACCTCAATTCTTCAATAACTGATATTCCCTAGAGAGTGAGAGACAGTGAGTGAGGTGCTGGAATTTTTTCCCCTGGAGGAAATGTCGGGATAACGCTGCTGTCAACCCTTCCCTGGTGGCCTGTCCCCTTTGAGAATGGCAAAAACACCTTCCTAAGACCCTTGTTGCTGTCACTCCCTGGAATTCAGCCAGCTGGAACACCCTGTGCCTGCTCCAGGGGTGATGGAGCCCAGCCTGGTGTTTGCAGGGGTTGAGGAGAGAGGAGTGGTTTGGATACCCTGGATGCTGGAATCCCTGTGCCGGGGACACTGTGGCACTCCCAGCCTTGTTCACGCTATTTCCCTATGATTTATTGTAATCCTAATGGAGCAGCTGAGGGAAATTGGCAGGGTTGGGATGGGGGAGGAGGAGAGGGGCTCGTTACCCTGGGAGTAACAGAGCGTCTGACTCCGACGGGGAGCCCAACAGGAGCAGGGTTTTGGAGCAGCGGGATTGGATGTGCTGCGCCTGGGGGCGGTGGCAATGACAACAAACTGAATAATAATAAAAAGCTTCCCATGCTCCCAGCTATTCCTGGAGCCTTGTTCCTTGTCCAAATTCCCCAGAGGAGGAGTTGGTTTGCTGTTAGGTTTAGGAGAATCCTTAACCCTGGAATCTGTTGGCTTTTTTTCAGGACACGCGGCTGGATAGGCTCTTTGTTGATTGAATCCTTCCCGACACCTTCCTGGGATCTCCAGAGCTCCAAGGCTGCCTACAATGGTCCAGACTTTTCCTGGGAGCTGATATGGAGAATTCCAAGGCTGTGGTTGGAACAGCCCCGTGCCATATCAGTGTGGTGAGGAATGATGCTCCAGCTGGAAGAACACCACAAAATTCCCTCTCCCTCATATTCCCAAGTCATTCCTGCACAAAGCTCACAGATCCTTCCAGAGGTGAGTAGGGAATAACAACTCCTTAAGCCAGTGGGGCCTTTGGAGGTTTCCTTGTGAAATGGCTGGTGATACCCTGATTGAGACGCTGCATCCGAGTTATCCACAGGGATAACCCAGCTGATGGATGTTTGGGATGCTCTAACTCTCCCTTACATCCCTCTGAAGGTGTAGGATTCCCAGGAATGTGTGCACATCACCACGCCATGGCTCCAGGCACTTAAACCCAGACTCAACCCTTTCCCACAGGTTGGGAAGCTCTGAAATGAATGGATTTGCTCCAGAGGTTGGAGGTGGGGACAGATCCAAGAGAAAATCATGGGAAATCACGTCTTTTGTGACAGGCTCATATTAATTCCTTAATTCCCTTAAATGCTTCGCCACTCACCCTCTGTGTCATGACAGCGGGAGAAAAATGGGATTTCTGAGGGCATTAATCCCTCCCTTAATGCTTTAGAAGGCATCCGGTTTATCCAAAACATTCCAAAATTGCCTGTAAATGGTGTCACTGCCATACAGGAGTCAGGCAGCAGAGCCCTGGGGGTCACTGGGATGAATCCCAACGCTGGAGCTGGGCTATAAATGCAGTCTGGCCTTTGCAGTTTGGTGGAGCCAGGCTGGAAACAGGCAGCTGGAGCTGCTGGAATGCAGAAATCCTGAGCTGTATCAGATTAATCGCCTTGTGTCCCTTAATTGGCAGGATCTGGGCTGGGATGTGCTCTACCCCACCCCTTGGAAAGCCTTGGATGGCTTTTGATTGTATTTCCCCGAATAAAAGAGTAATTTCCAGTCTTTCTGAGCTTCTTCCCTCTGTCTGCTCCAGGTTTCGGGACTTCCAGGGGTGCCTGCCCAGCCGGGAGCGGATCGTGCCGAAGGGAGACCTTGGAAGTGCCACGGGCTGGATGAAACGATTTGTCGGAATGCTAAATTTGGCAGCAGCTTTTCATCCAAACCGGAGCCACTTTGCACCTGTCTGGGGAGATAAAGGGACTCGGAATGAGCGTGAGTGGGATTTTTCTGCCTGAACGGGATACAAAGGCTTCGGCACAAATGAATTCCAGAGCTTCAAAGCCTTTCCTGAATGTTTGTCCGCCCCTGTCAGGCTGTTTTATTTCCCAGGTACGGTGATATCACCCAGCAGACCATTTGCAGCCTGCTCCACTTGCTTTAAGGAGGAATGGGCAGGCGAGGATGTGCTGCTATTCCCTGCTGGATTGGCTTTTCTGGGACAGAGATTTATTTTTCCTCTCTATTTTTCAATGCTTTTTTTTTTTTTTTTTTTTTTTTTTTTTTTTTTTTTTTTTTTTTTTTTTTTTTTTTTTTTTTTTTTTTTTTTTTT